AGACTTTCAAAAATACACACACACACACACACACACACACACACACACACACACACACACGAGTGAAGCAAATATGGCAAAATTTTTATAACTACTGTATCTAGGTAGAGTACGTGAGCTGTCGTAGTCCATTTGGACTACTATAACAGAATACTGCTGACTGGTGGCTTGCAAACAACAGAAAAGTATTGCTCACAGTTCTGGATGCTGTGAAGTCCAAGATCAAGGTACCAGCACAGTCGCCTTCTGGTGAGGGCCCTCTTTCTGGTTCAGAGCTATGGGCTTCTCATTGTGTCCTCACATAGTGGAAGGGGCTAAGGGGCTCTCTGGAGCCTCTTTTATAAGGCACTAATCTCGTTCATAACTTAAGTACCTCTCAAAGGCCCTACCTACTAATATCATCATTTTGGGGTGTTAGGATTTCAACAGATGAATTTAGGGGGGAATACAAACATTCAGAACACAGCATGAATGTTTGTTAGAATAATCCTTTTAATTTTTCTGTGCACTTAAAATTTTTACAATAAAAGCATGAGGAGAAAACTGCTAGAGGAAAAATAAAGAAAGAAAAGTACTAAAGCCACTTCTCCTGAAACCAGTATTCAGTTGGTTTAATTTGAGCAACAAACCCTGACTAGCACAAATGGTAAGAAAAAAGGCCTAGCCCTCCATGCTTGGAATAATTTGTAGAGCAGAAGGTTGCCAAGCACCTTAAGGGAATGGGGTGCCAGAATCAGAGAGGGTTGCTGAGAGCAGTTTTTCTGAGGCACACGGATGAGGAGCATGAAGGTGAACTCCTCGGGGCCAGTTCTATCGCCCTCAGTCTTCCCTCAACACACTGCCTGACCAGAACAGAGGACTCCAGATCACAGAAAAAGAACCAATGAAAGGAAGCAGTCTCTAGAGGGAACTCTAATGCTCTTCAGATTCATCCATGAGGCCAAAAACTACCATGTGCCAGGCAGTGGCTAGTGACATGCCTGTTTTAAGTTAACAATTAATGTAGCATAACAAAGTATAGATATTCTATTAATTCCTCAACTAAAGTAAGAATCTGAGAAAAGGCAATTTCAAGTCCTCTGATCAAAATGTGGCCACGTGGTAATTCATAAAGAAAACTGACAATCTCATAGATGAACAACTGAATATGTGATTGCCACTGATCTGAAACATACTGTTCATTATTTCTAATTTAAGCAAAAATAGACCCCAAAAAACCCATAGTAAAAAATAAGATGTCACCTTCCGTTCTTTAAGCTTCTCTCCATTTGTGGTAAAGTGTCCAACATGAGCTTGGACATGCTCAAACTGCTTTAAATATTCTTGATTTCGCGCATGAGCCTTCTTTTCCGATTCACATATTTCTTTTAGGTATTTCTTTAGTTTTACATACTTCAGCTTAACTCTAGAAAAATAAAAGCAGATTTTTAAACAATGGAGTTGCAACTTTAACAATCTAAGGAGAATTTTCTTTAACAAAATTATTAGTGAGACAATGTATTCTAAGATATTTTACCCAAACACTAAAATCTAAAAGATAGAATGCATATGCATTTTTAGAGAGAAGAAATTAATGCAACATCACTGAGGTATCACAGCTAAGCATAACTCTCCTGAGAAATGTATACAAGACCACATTATAACAAGCAAACAGTAAAGATTTATATGAATTTCTTTCTCAAAATTAAATGTGATTCCAAGAGCGGTATCTATGTGGCCATGTTCAGATGAATAGCCATTAGCATTCTTTTAAATGAGTAGTAACCTGCTCTTATGGAAACAGAATCAAACTATAAATCCACAATCCATAAACATTAAGAAAATTTGAAATTTAAAATAAAAAAGCTCTAATTTAGATATAATTTAAAAATTCTGTTAGAAATTGCAACACTATATTATTAAAATATTTTATAATAATGTATAGATTCTAGCTCTATTCAAATTATGAAAGAATCTTTAAAGACTCACCCAGACTATAATATCAAAAGACACACTGGGTGGCTTAAGATGCGCATGCATCCTACTCTCCTCACAGAACCAACACTGTTAATTCTAGCTCTTTCTTCTTCACAAGTATGTAAGTTATAAAACAGTACCTGGTATGTAGCATTTCCATTGTTGTTCAATAAAGTATTCAATGGTCTTTTATCAAGCAAAAATAAGTTGAAAACCACAAAAATGTCCGCCCTCAAAAACAGATTTTCAAAGATACTGATGTTAAAAATTAATCTCCGACAGAATTTAAACCTCTACTCCTAAGCCAATAATTTTCAAAAATTTCTTTATCACGCTAATAATTCTGTGCTTGGATCTTAGCTGTCCCATTTTTTTTTTTTTTTAATGGTGGCATTGGTTAATGAAATCCAGTAAGTTTCAGGTGTACAATTCAACTGTACCAATTTTTACTTATGAACAAAAAACTTAAGACTGGTTTTATAGCTGCCCACGTCTGCCATTTTCAACATAAGCAACAGTAACGAGGTGTTACCTAATATACTGTCTTTCGCATGTAGGTACTCGGTGAAGCTGCTGGTGGCAGCCAGTGTCCATGTGGAGTACATACAATAGTAACCATGCCTTCTCCATCCAAAGTCTAGTTTCATTCCTGCCCCTACATTAACCTTCAAAGCTGACCACATAAGTAAGTCATCCACTCATCCATGCAATCATTCATATATTCAATGTTCCGAGTAAGAAATCATTTAGCTAGGGTCAACAGGGAAAACAAAAAAATGAGATAAGTACAATACAGTGCGATGAATGCTATAAGGGAAACTGCAAGGGACTCTGACAGACTGGGCAACCTGACCTAGCTGAAGAGGACAAGGAAGACTTCCCAGCAGAAATTATTTTTCAGCTGAGACATGAAGGTTTGGTAAGAATTAATCCCAAACTGGGGAAAGCAAAAGTGAAAGTTGAGGGGAAAACATTCAGGCAGAGGAAGTAGCATGTTGGAAAACTGAAAGGTGATAAGAATAACAGTGATATTGACAAAAATAATAAATTATTGACTCTTACGGAGTCAGACACTGCTTTAAGACTCTATTAAATTCTCATAATTATCATTATGCCCATTTTACAGGTGAAGAAATGGAGACACAGAATGCTGAAGTGATTGTCCCAAGGTCACATGGCTAAGAACTGATGCGGCTTGGATTGAATTGAGACACTTGGCAACATAACCTACCTGCTTACATTATGCTACAAAAGATCTTGTCATGCTGCAGGAACTGAAGTTTCAGTCCAAGTAAAATTTTAGGGGGAGGCTGGCAAAAGATGGTGATGATGAAAATTAAACAGAAACAGATAAAAGCATGTCTGGATACTTTTCATGCTTTCCTTACAACCTCCTGGCCCAGCTTTTCTTCTACCAGCCACAGCAACAGCAACCTAGTAGCACCTGCCTCAGCTGTGCCTGGCATCTTGCTTTTGCAGGGCTGCTTTTTTGAATTTGCAACATCAAAGGCCTGGGTATGAGAAGGAATTAACACCTCCTGGGATGGCTCTGACCAATAGGGATCAGGAACCAATAGGTAAACAGCCCCCTCTTCCTTCCCTTGAATAGACACTTGTGAGGAGCAGAGAGGTAGTCTGCACTGCTCCTCTGAACGTCAAGAGGAACTGAGTCCCAGGTACCCACAGCATTCTTCCTCCTTCATTCTTCCCAGCCCTGCTCTCCAGTTTTATGTGACTACTTCCCAAAGTAAACTACCACCTACAAGAAAACAAAACTAAAAAACTACCAACTACATACAAACCCTTGTCTCAGACTCTGTCTTCTGGAGGAACCAGGTTGAGGAATCCATGTTAGCCAGTTTGGATTTTATCCTACAGGCAGTTTAAAAAAGCATATTTTTTAGCAAATCATACCGTCTACCTAACAGGAAACAATAAGAGACTGAGAGAGGAAAACAAACTTAGAAAACTGATAGCTTGGTAAAGGTTCTCATTCCTCTCTCACCACCATTATGCCAGAAAGTTGTCCAAGACTAGGTTGAAGGAAAAGTCCATATTCTGTCTTCTGCCCTGTTAGCTGTGGGTTAGAAAAATGGCAACTGCCATGAATCCTCAAAGACTTGGGTCCACTTCTGAAGCCATGGCATCCATAACACTACAATTCTTCCATCACTTCACTGACTCTGCTTGTCTCTTCTAGAGCTACTAGAGATACATGGCTTTCCTCTCTGACTGGTACCTTTGCAAGTACACTAAATCTTAAAACCAAAATATAACTTTGAAGATGAGTAAATAAATGGACCTGATGGGTAATTTGGTTTTAAAGTACTCTTGGCTTCTGAATAAGGTGTTTTCATTTTTCACTCATGGGTAATTCACAAACTTAGTATTATCATAGTCAGAAATTTTTCATATAAATAATAATAACACTAACACCATACCTTTGGCTTAAGGATGAAGTTCAGTTTCCATAAAATAGAATTAAAAACATTAGAATTTTGCTCCTAATATTACAATAAGTAACCTAAAAAAGGATAACATGTATATTATCTACTGTTCATAATTTTAACGGTCATAGTCATATATCCCTGAACAAATGAGACACCACATAACCCTGCCTACAACAGTTTGTTGAAAGGTCAACTACAGTAATTATGCCTTACATAGGCTTAATGTGTTTAAATTATGACCTAAAGATAACAAAGTCTATAATGTATCTTATTCTTAAGATATTTAAGCAAAATAGATTCCTGAAATAACCAATACCAAATAATTAAATAATTTTTATCTTATACTAATTTTAACCAAATTTATTCTTACATTTGATAGTCATATTAAACTGAAATGTTTGTTTGAAACTATTACACATTAGAAATAAGAGAATGGTAAAAGTACTGCAACTTTTGGTATTTACAACATATATTTGGGTTAAATTTTTATAGATTTACATATGCAAATTGTTTTTAAAACTGTTACCACTGTCATATCTTACCTGCACATATCAGACTGATTATATTCATAAAGTTTCTTTTCCAGGTCCAATCTCTTCTTTTCACTGTAGTACAGAAAGAAAATATTTTATGAATAATTACATTGGTAAGTAATAAGCAGTTGGATTTAGAATATGATCTCCTTTGAAATCACAGCTTTGTGAGAATGCTTCTCTGGTCTCCCAAAGAAGCAGAAAATGCTAGCTGTGTTTGAAACTTAAGACACTTGGCAGTCACCAGAGATGTCTAAAAGCAAAGAGGATAACAATATGAAGGAAAAAGAACAAGATTCTCAAAATAAATGAAAAGAAAAAAAAAAAGCAGTAAGAAAAGGCTGCGAACCAGTTCATTCATTTAGCAAGTATTTCTTGAGTGCCATGATGAGCTGGACACTGCTCTAGGCCTAGAGACTAACATGGTGAACAAGGCAACCAGGACCCCTGTCCTCAGGCATCTCACTTTCTACCGTGAAAACAGACAATAAATAACATAAATATGTAAAATATAACATGGCCAGAAATGGTGGCACTTGAGCAGTAGGGGCTCCACCAGGACTAGACATGATGCTTCTACAAATCCACTTTGGACTGAAGACTGGTGGCTTGCTCAGCTCCCAACCAAACAAGCCTGGGCAGAGCCAAATGGCTGAGTTTGGAAAGGTCTCTGAAAAGTAGACCTGGCCTCACTCATACTTAATGAAGACAAGTTCCCCTAATACTAACACTTCAAATTTGGAGGAATTTCTTTTATAACTTTGTAACATCGCCATGGTTTGTCACTATTTGTCACTGCTATTTCCTGGGGCTACTACCAGTAAAGAGTCTGTGATGTTCAGGTGAGAGCTGGAAGTAAGCTAGGGGAAAGATTACCCTGCACACATAGCCTGGAAAAGAGATGGGGGAAACTGGGTAGTCGAGGAGGCAGCAGTAGCCAATTCAAGGGTTTGAGGGATAAAATTGCTGAATGGAAAGCCATCCCAGTCCTCAAAAGAGCCCTTAGGAGGTTTAACCACAGAGGGCTCTGCTTGACCACCACCAAAATACCAGCTTCAATCCCATTCAACTGAAGTCACATTGCTAGCCTAAGTTAAAAATAACTAAAGGTCAAAGAAATCACATGTTTGAGAGCAAATTGCTAAAAAACAAAACAAAACAAAACTGTAAATCAAAGACAAGGATTCCAACAGAAGGTGAGCTCAGGTTAGTGTCCTGAGGGAAAGGGGCCAAGCCCACATTCCATTTGTTCGTTCTTAATTATTAGTTTGTTTTCCTTCAGATATTTTTTCCCTTAAAAAAAAAAACAAATAGGTTAAGTAAATTTCTTAACCTATAGGTACGAATAGGTTAAGTAAATTTCTCTGTCTACCATAATCTGGAATGGAAACCCACTATTTAACCAAAATTCTTTTAATGGGAAAATGGGGTACAAAATCCAAACACCAAATCTTTGCTTCATGAATACAATCTATTCCTTAGCTGGGATATGACTATGTTAAGAAAGGGAAAAAAATTAAAGAGAAAAATTATAGAAACACAATTTTTAAATCTAATCACTTCTCACAGATCATTACTCTCTCATTAATAAGACTGAATTTAGAAGAGAAGGAAAAATAATATAATTGCTTCCATGTTGGAAAATTTTATTAGTCACTTTTTCTCCTTCTAAGGTTCAGTGATTAATAGGATATTTAGTTCATGAAAAATGAATGACTGAACAGTGTGAGCAATTTGTCATTAAATTATGAGGACAAAAAGACCTTTAAATATATCTATGATCCTGTGCCCCTGATGTCATGCTTCACACTTCTGTGGTATTTCTGCTAAGAAAGTATGACTAGAGTCTGGTCATGAGGAAACATCAGATGGATCCAATTTGAGGATCACCCTCTGGAATGAAAGTTGTACTCTGTGAAACTGCCAGGAACATGAAAGATAGAGAAAGACTGAAGAAGAGTTCCAGACTGGGAGAAACTGCAGAGACATGGCAACCACATGCAACATGGGTTTATACATGGAATCTTGGACCAGAAAAGGAAAAAGACAGTGTTAGGACAGTTGGTGAAATTTGATCAGGGTCTATATGTCAATGTTGATTCTCTGACTGGAGGATTATATGGTGATCATATAAGACAGTGGTCCCCAACCTTTTTGGCACCAGGGACCGGTCCTCCTATGAAAATCTAATGCCTGATGATCTGAGGTGGAGCTGAGGTGGTGATGCTAGCACTGGAGAGTGGCTGCAAATACAGATGAAGCCTTGCTCTCGGCCCACTGCTCATCTACTGCTGTGCAGCCAGCCTAGTTCCTAACAGTCCACAGACCATACTGGTCTGATGCCCAGGGGTTGGGGACCCCTGATGTAAGAGAGCATCCTTGTTTTTTGAAAATACACACTAAAGTTTTTAGAAATTATGGGGCATTATAGCTGCAGTTCTCAAATGGTTCAGAAAACACAATGAAGAGAATATTAGAGGTGTCCTATAATTGGAAGTTTTCTGTAAACTTGAATTTATTTCAAAATAATTTTTAAAATTCACCTATGACTTCCAGTAAAAAAAAAAAAAAAGAACCAGTCTGGGAATCCATCAGCTCCCAAGTTCTTTTTAATAATGTATGTTAAACTTCCTTGTTCCTACTCTATCTTCAGTAGACATCTGCTGGTCATACTTCTTCTGTGTTGTGGCACTTCATACACTGAAAAACCATAATCAAGTGCCTCTTGGCCTTTTATTCCAGGCAAAATGATTCTAATCTCATGAACTCTTCATCCCAGGCCCATTTCCTAACCTCTTCATCCATGCTGCAGTATCTCTAAAGGCTATCTTTCATATATATTTTAAATTTAAGATTTAAAACAATATGTTTATCCCAATAAAAAGCCAGAGAAAGGCTTATTAGGAGGATCTTCTTGCAATTCTTACTTATTAAATCTGTTTCAGAATCTTTGAAACACCTAGTCCTGGGACACATACCCACAGTCCATGGTTTCGGTCACCTGCATCCCCACCTCCAGACCTTTTAAGTTTTACATAGCTAGGCAGTCCTTAAAGCAAAGCCATATGGTTTAGTTTTCTCCTTTTAAGCCACTTGTTACTATGTTTTTGTTTCAATACCACCTTTAGCTTTACTGAACTAATATCTCAGTGTCAATTTATAAACTATTATATCTCACCCTGAATCAATATTGGCATTGAAAAAAACGGTCTGGCTAATGGGCCTTTTAAAGGAATGTTTTTATATAATCGTAAGAGTCAATTCCACTTATATGTTCCACCATGCTTGCAGCACTGAACACACTGTAACAAGTCACTTCACCAGGCTCTTTCATATTCAATGATTGACTTTACCACAATGCATGGAAAATATTATATACAAAAAGGAGAAAATTCAGGACATAAAATTACATCTATGTGTGACTACAACTAACACAATTTGGGCTAGAAATATACCAGTTACAATGGAAAGGCCCAGTTATTACACCAGCTAACACTGCAATGACCCACCACAAAGAGGGCCAAGAAAGGGCAAGTTTTTTTTCTCTCCCACTTCCAGGAAATTTCTGGACTGATAAAGCAGTTGTGACTTTTGAGGGTTGCAGCCTTTAAAATTACTCTTGAGTTTTAGAAGACAATGGTCCTAGGGGTCACTAGGATTGGTTAAAAAAAAAAGGGGAGGGGGGTTACATCCAAACACTTAAATAAGAAACAATGATATATATTTTTCTCTGCAAAACTACATCTTTCAACTTTTTTACTCTGATTCTCATTACTCTTGGAGAGAAAAAAAAAATCTGTAGCCTTACTTTGCATGTTAGTCAAGGCTCTCATTTCTGACGAAGAACCAAGGTTCAAAGAAGCTGAATGACCTGCTCGAGGTCACATAACTGTTCATAGACTAGAACCCAAGTTTCCACATTTCTACTTAGTTTTTTTTTGTACCCAAAGTTATTTGCCTCTGTACTTACTAATTATGCATTAGTTATAGAATTTTAAAATGAAAAACGAATATATGCAGCAACAAATTTTTACTGACTTCAAAATAAAACAAACCTCTAAATGCAGAACCATGAATAGGCTATAGAATTTGACTCAAATTCCTTATATAATTTCAACAGCCTTACCTTGCTTAATAGTTAAAACATTAAGTGTTAAATATAAAGTGAGCAATAATACACAATTATTCCATAAGGACTATAAATAGTCAGGTATTCTAGCACAGGAAGCAAAAACTGATAACTCACAACTTAGTTCAAAAAGAATGCCATTTGAAGCAATAACATTTTGAAATTAGAACTTGGGCTAACAGATAAAAATAACTAAGGCCAGGGAGTAACTAAGTTACTCTTCTAACAAAACAGAGTCAAAAAGCACTTTAAGTGTACCGATGATGTACAGAGCAATGTCTTGTCTCTTTATCAGGTATATGCAAATACTTAATACCATCTTTGAAATATCACACTGTCCACTTTTCCTGGTTGACTGGAAAATGGTCATTATTTAGTGGCAATGTGTGGCTACTAGGTTCTATACAAGACATTCATAACTCTTGGACACTGCCTGGTTGACTCTGAGATTTCTTCCATTCATTCAACAAACATTTATCAAGCCTTCTCCATGTCAAGTACTCTGGCAAAAGATTCAGCTAGATATGGTTCCACTCCTCCTGGAATTCTCAGTCTAGGCAGAAAATGAGTCACTTAGGCCATTATCTAGACTGCTTTAAGAACGTGGAGGTCACATGTAGGGAATGGGTTGCTCAATACTTGGTGCAGAGAGTGAACTGCAGGAAGCAATTTTCTAAAAGTTGTGGGTGAGGAGGTCATTGGGGTGGGTGAAGAAAGTATGTCAGAAAGAAAATAGGATGTATTAAAAATTAAGAGGTGAAATATGGTTAGGACAAAGAAGGCCTATTGTAGATGTTCTATGAATACGTGACAAAAATTAAAGCTAGCATGACTATAATTCCTTTCAAAACCACTTATTTCTGCCTTTACCTTACATATAATTGTCATTTTAAAATTGTCACACACGGCTCTCCTCTTCACTGATTTTGTAGCTTTTAACACTCATTAAATGTTTTATCAAGAGATTCAAAAAACTATTTCCTTTTTTGTCAATTAATATCTAATTTCAATTAATTTAGTAACTAAATAATAGTTCCAACAACTTATCTTTTATGTGGTTATTTATAGTAGATTATTTTAAAATTTTCTTTTTACATACTCTTAGATCTAGCTGTTTTCAGTGCTTCTCATCTTTCATGGCTTAATCAAGTTATTAATCAAGATAATAGGAACCTTGTGGAAGCTGAACTTCTCTCGCTGGAAATTCATTCTTTCGCTGGAAATCTGGCCCTAAATTCTCTTGTATTTAAATAAGATATATCCTTCATACACGCACGCACGCGCGCGTTTTTAGACCTTTCATCATTCCTGCAGCGCAGCTATCTGGGTGGGATGGCGATTTGAAGAGAAACTGGGGAGGAGACGTGTAGATGGGGACTAGAGAAATTCACAAGGCTTGACTGAAAATGACAGGCAGGAGAACTCTCATATCTGGGCAAATTCGGTGACACGGCCGTATCTTCCAGCGGGAGATCTCCAATATACCCGGTAAACTTTGTCCTTCAGGCCCCACTGGGAGTTTGGGGGATCGGGGGTCGTGGCGGACAGACCCGGGCCCAGCGGAACCACGGGCGGGGAGGTGGGAAGGAGTAGGCAGTAGGGCACCAGCTGACCATCGGCGAAGGCCGATTCTCCGACCCCGCTCGGATAGGCCGTACCTGTCCCGCAGCCCATGCTGGAGGCGGCCCAGCCTCTCGTAGTAGTCAGGGCTCGCCAGGGGCGCGGACAGTGCGGAGGCCCGGCGCATGCCGCCGCAGCCGCTGTAGCCGCCGCCGCCACCACGCTGGATGGATCAGGACCACCTCGCAGCAGCCGTGGGACCAGGTTGTCCGAGGCGACGGCCCCACCATGCACCGCGGGTAACCACGGCGCCCCGGCGTCACGCAGGGGGCGGGGCAGAGACCTTCAGGGGGCGGGACGGAGGTGGGCGCCGTGGAGGGGCAGGAAGGAGGCGGGGCGTGGTGGAAGCGGGAGCCGGATGCCTCCGAGGGGGCGGGCCGACGCTGCACCCGTGGTGAGGCGGGCGGCTTCTGCCTAGAGAAAGGCGTCTTCTTTACTCCTAACTCCTCCCAATTCTCAGCGGAGAGACCCTAAGCCTCCTCCGCGGCCCTTCTCTGAGGGCCAAGTCAGAAGTCCTGCCCCCCAGAGTATTGGGGCTGGGCGGGAGCAATTTACGTGATCATTTTTTTTGTATTTGGTAAACTGCATTAATTTTACAAAGCGAA